AAGTGTCAAATTTGAGAGATTAATGCAATTTGCTAAAGCAGAACCTAAGCCTGATGCTACCATTGCGCCAATTTAATTGTCACTTTTTAATATTGAAGAAAAAAATTGTCATTAAATATTTAATTAGAAAGAAAAAATGAAGAAAAAATATGAAATAATAAGATTTATTAATTAATAATAAAAGAAAAAGTTGAAAATAAAATTATGAGATAAATTAACAAAGAAAGAACAAAAAAATAAGTAAGCAAGATAAAAAGAAAAAGAAAAAAGAGCATTATTGTTTTTGATCTCTGACTATCTAAAACATATTAATCTTATTATTTCATATTTTTTCTTCATTTTTTCATTCTAATTAACTATTTAATGATATATTTTTTCTTCAATATTTTAAAAGTTACAATTAAATTGGTGCAATCGGTGCATTAGGCTTAGGTTCTGCTTTAGCAAATTGCATTAATCTCTCAAATTTGACACTTGACCTTGGGTAAAAACAGTTTATTTGTTTTAGATTGTGAAATTTTTAATTATAAAAACTAATTAAAAACAATAAAGTTCTTTTTTCTTTTTCTTTTTATTTTGCTTGCTTTTTTTTTGTCCATCCTTTGTTAATTTAGCTCATTATTATTTTATTTTCAACTTTTGCTTTTATTATTAATTAATAACTCTTATTATTTCACATATTTTCTTCATTTTTTCCTTCCAATAAACTATTTAATAATATATTTTTTCTTCAATATTTATTTAAAAAGTCACAATTAAATTAGTGATGAAGGTGCATCAGGCTTAGGTTCTGCTTTAGCAAATTGCATTATTCTCTCAAATTTGACACTTGAACTTGGGTAAAAAAGTTTATTTGTTTTGAATTGTGATATTTTTAAATATAAAAACTAATTAAAAACAATAAAATTCTTTTTTCTTTTTCTTTTACATATGCTTGCTTTTTTTATGTCCATCCTTTGTTAATTTAGCTCATTATTATTTTATTTTCAACTTTTGGTTTTATTATTAATTAATAACTCTTATTATTTCATATATTTTCTTCATTTTTTCCTTCTAATTAACATATATTTTTTCTTCAATATTTAAAAAGTAACAATTAAATTGGTGATGAAGGTGTATCAGGATTAGGTTCTGCTTTAGGAAATTGCATTAATCTCTCAAATTTGACACTTTACCTTAGGTAAAAATAGTTTATTTGCTTTGAATTGTTATATTTTTAATTATAAAAACTAATTAAAAACAATAAAGCTCTTTTTCTTTTTCTTTTTATTATGCTTGCTTTTTTTTATTCTTTCTTTGTTAATTGAGCTCATCATAATATTTTCAACTTTTGATTTTATTATTAATTAATCTTATTATTTTATATATTTTCTTCATTTTTTCCTTCTAATTAACTATTTAATGATATATTTTTTCTTCAATATTTATTTAAAAAGTCAAAATTAAATTGGTGCATCAGGCTTAGGTTCTGCTTTTACAAATTGCATTAATCTCTCAAGTTTGACACTTTACCTTAGGTAAAAATAGTTTATTTGTTTTGAATTGTGATATTTTTAATTATAAAAACTAATTAAAAACAATAAAGCTCATTTTCTTTTTATTGTGCTTGCTTTTTTTTTATTCTTTCTTTGTTTTTTTAGCTCATCATTTTAATTTCAACTTTTACTTTTATTATTCTATTAATAAATTATATTATTTCATACTTTTTCTTCATTTTTTCATTCTAATTAACTATTTAATAATATATTTTTTCTTCAATATTTATTTAAAAAGTTACAATTAAATTAGTGATGAAGGTGCATCAGGCTTAGGCTCTGCTTTAGCAAATTGCATCAATCTCTCAAATTTGACACTTGACTTTGGGTAAAAAAGTTTATTTATTTTGAATTGTGATATTTTTAAATATAAAAACTAATTAAAAACAGTAATATCTTTTTTCTTTTTATTGTGCTTGCTTTTTTTGTTCTTTCTTTGTTAATTTAGCTAATCATTTTATTTTCAATTTTTGCTTTTATTATTTATTTCTTATTATTTCATTTTTTTTCTTCATTTTTTCCTTCTAATTAACTAATTAATGATATATTTTTCTTCAATATTTAAAAAGTTCTAATTAAATTGGTGATGAAGGTGCATCAGACTTAGGTTCCGCTTTAGCAAATTGCATTAATCTCTCAAATTTGACACTTAACCTTCGGTAAAAACAGTTTATTTGTTTTGGATTGTGATATTTTTAATTATAAAAACTAATTAAAAACAATAAAGCTCTTTTTTCTTTTTCTTTTTATTGTGCTTGCTTTTTTTTTGTACTTTATTTTATAATCTAGCTTTTCAACTTTTGCTTTTATTATTAAATAATTAATCTTATTATTTCATATTTTTTCTTCATTTTTTTAACTTCTAATTAACTATTTAAAGACATATTTTTTCTTCAATATTTAAAAAGTCACAATTAAATTGGTGTAATGGGTGCATCAGGCTTAGGTTCTGCTTTAGTAAATTGCATTAATATCTCAAACTTGACACTTGACCTTCGGTAAAAACAGTTTATTTGTTTTCGATTGTGATATTTTTAATTATAAAAACTAATTAAAAACAATAAAGCTCTTTTTCTTTTTATTGTGCTTGATTTTTTTTTGTTCTTTCTTTGTTAATTTAACTCATCATTTTATTTTCAATTTTTACTTTTATAATTAATTAATTAATCTTATTATTTCATATTTTTTCTTCATTTTTTCATTCTAATTAACTATTTAATAATATATTTTTTCTTCAATATTTAAAAAGTCATAATTAAATTGGTGATGAAGGTGCATCAAGCTTAGGTTTTGCTTTAGCAAATTGCATTAATCTCTCAAAATTGACACTTTCACTTCGGTAAAAACAGTTTATTTGCTTTTGTGATATTTTTAATTATAAAAACTAATTAAAAAAAATATAGCTATTTTTTCTTTTTCTTTTTATTGTGCTTGTTTTTTTTTGTTCTTTCTTTGTTAATTTAGCTCATCATTTTATTTTAACTTTTACTTTTATTATTAATTAATTTTATTATTTCATATTTTGTATTCATTTTTTCCTTCTAATTAACAATTTAATGATATATTTTTTCTTCAATATTTAAAAAGTGACGATTAAATTGGTGATGAAGGTGCATCAGGCTTAGGTTCTGCTTTAGCAAATTGCATTAATCTCTCAAATTTGACACTCTACCTTAGGTAAAAACAGTTTATTTGTTTTGGATTATGATATTTTATACAAAAAAAATGAATATAAAACAAAAAAGTTCTTTGAATTTATTTGATATCTTTTATTTATTTTATTTTTTTATCTTTTTTATTCCACAAATATTATTTTATTTATTAATTTAAAGAATAATTTTTAATTTAAAAGTTTATTCTATTTTAATATTTATTTTTAAATTTACACAAATTTATTTTAAAATTTTTAGCGATTTGAATAAATCATAAAGATTCAAAGTAATAAGCAAGTGTCTTAAATCAAAAAGATTAGTTGTCTTTGATTTCTAATGATGAACAACTGGTGAAAAAAGGATGAATAAATATAAAATGTTTGAATAATATTATATATTTTATTATATAACATTTTGAAAAAGTGTTTTTAACCTAAAATATAAATAGATAAATAGATTTTATTATTGATTTTATATTTATAAATATCATTCATATTTTTGTAAGTAAATAAATTATTTATAAAAAATAAAAAAATTAAATCCTCTTAAGCAAACCCTCTGGTTTCTCCAAAAACGATCAAATAATTTGAAACTTTTATTGTTAAATTACATCTTTATTAATTATATAAATGCCAAACTTTTATATGCCAGTTATATTTTAATCTTAAATATTATCCATCAATCATATTTTATCCTTTTTTTATTTATCTTGATTAATTAGATGCCATAATTTAAAAAAACCTCAGGGAGAAATTAAGTTTTACTTTTTATTTTAACATTTGTTGTTATGTTTATTTTTATTTTTTTTTTCTAAAATTTTTAATTTATCTTATAATCATTTTTTTTCATTTTATATTTTTTAAAATCATAAAATAATTGTTTTTTATATTATCATTTATTCATTCAGACTATACAAATTTGATTTTTTTATTTAATAATATTTAGAATAAATTAATGAATTTAAAAGTTGTTAATGTTGAATTTGGCTTTTTATAAGCTTATTTCATAACAAGAATTTATGTAATTTTTTTTAATGTGGTATTATAAATTTTAAAATGCTTATCTTATTTTATTTAAAAAAATGTTCTCTAAATTTTCTAGAATACTATGGACTTATTATCACTTTATCTGAATTTTTTATTCTGTAAATATATTTTTTTATATAGTCAAGTTATGAATTTTATTGAATAGTTTATTTACTTACTTTTTCATAAATATTTTTTTTAATTTATTTCATTTAAAATTAAAAAAATCCAGATATTAAAATATAATGCCATCCAGCTCATCATATTTTGATACATGGATTAGCAATAAATATATTTTTCTATATAAAAAAATAAAGAATAAAATAATTAATTTGACTTCATTAAAACATAAAAAAATAATGACTAAAAATATAGAAAAATAATCAATTGATTGTATTTTTATTTTAGATATGGACATCTTAGCTTTTATATAAAGTATTTGGTAATACCTATTCTTCCAAATCTTATGAATTTATTAATGGAAAATCAGTATTCTTGTTATTTTCTTGAGTTTGTAGTGTTTTTAGCTGCTCAGTGTTAGCTAAATTATTTATCTCAAACATCTTTGCATGTTAACTTTAAGGTTAATTTTATTCACTATACAATGTAATTTAAAACCTTTATTATACAGCTTTAGTGTCTTCCTAAATTATACTGTCTTCAAATTGTAGAAAAATGTCATCATTTTAGTATCTTTCACTTATTAAGCTTTTTGGTGATGAGCTATGAGAACTATTTTACGGAGATAAATCGTTTCTGTTTGTAGCTTTAGTTTTATTTTAGAAAAGAAAATTTTTTGTTTAAATTAAATTGCAATTTGAATTAAATATATTTTAAAGCTTTAATTCTTTTAATGTTAAATTCATTTTTTTAAAAGTTTAAAATAAAAAAACTAATTTTATTTGATTTTAAATGGTTTTCTATTTACATTCATGATCAAATAATTTGCGATTAGTTGATGAAATTTATTCAATAACATTTTTTCCTCTAAAATCTGCCAGATGAAATTTGATCATTTTCCAATAACTTAAGATTACAAGTTTGCTAATTTATGTTTTAGATTCTTTCATTTTGTAAAAGAATGAAATGATTTTGATTATTTTTTTCTTGTATTTCATTATTTTGATTTTAAAAATTAAATAAATAAAATATAATATAAAGCCGTAGTGTATGAATGACATAATAAAAGTAAATATCCAATGCTAATATTATGCTTGCAATATGTTAAAAAATAAATTAAGCATTAATATAAATTAAGATGCTGTTTCATGATTCTTTTGCTAAAGGCTCTAGAATGGAGTATAGGCATGAATAGAAGATATATAAAGGGTAATGATTATGATAGAAAGACATTGCTGGATTATCTGAGATTGTACTAATAGGGCTGAAGTTAATACTATTGCTATTTTATAGTATATCCTAATGAATTCCCAATAGAAATATTTTTCCTTATATTCGAGAAAATAGTATCCAAATCTAAATTTCATAGTGCAAAAGAAGAGTTTCTGGTTTCTTTTTAGTTTATAAATGAATAACAAAAGAACAAGCAGAGGGAAAAAAACCCAAATCATCAAAGCTGGAAGGATTAAATATGATCTAAAAAGAGTAAATTCAGAGTCATTGCACATAATAACCAAGCTCTGAAGTAAGTAACTTTCTTCTCCAATTTATTTACAAGAAAATGTACTTGTAAAGAATTGGATTGCGTCAGGTTAAAAAAAGAAGAATACTATATTAATCATGACAAATTGATAATACTTCAACACTTTTAAAATTCTAAAAATTTTAAGTAGATAAAATTCTATGAATAAAACAATAAAAAACATGAGAGGAATCCCAAAGTAAAGTAAACTTCTCATTTTTATTTCTTAGTGGATTCTAAGAGTTTCAGATAGATTCTTGTAGATGCATCCACTGCTAATAATTATTTTCCCCACTGGTTATCCAGCAAATCCAGGAGCAAGAGATATAAAAGTTGGCAAAATGTTGAAATCAATTTAGTATAGAATCGATGAGCTATTAAATAAACAAGTATTTAATAAAAATATTTTCTTTACTAAAAGTTAAATTAATTGAATTTTTATATTTCTTTTTCTTGCATTAAAATTATTTAATTTTATTTTTTTAATTAGAATTATCCTAAATGCGATATTTTGTATTTTAATTGCTCTTTGTTTGAGTTATTAATAAAGAAGATTTAATCTGATATTTAGATAATATTCAAATATCATTTAAATAGTTTATAATAACGAAAAAAAATTTTTTAAGAAAAATAATTACAGCTGAAGATAATTAATGAGCTACTTGATGATAAATGTGCTTTAGTCTTAAATACAGCTGTTAGAGAAAGGTAAAATAGACATATATCTAAGATATGTTGTGATAGAGTTATAGACGTAACTATTCATAAACATCACTACTGATATATTGATGTATATTAAGATGAATGCTAGGATCAAAACAATATAAGCAATTTAATATCCCTATTAGCTGCATAGCTGACATACAGTTGGATTAATAGTCATAACATATACTTTATCTCTCCAGATATTCCCATATGTATCACATGTTTAGCAAATAGGTCCAATGTATCCTTCTTTACAGCCTTATATGCTTTTTGGATTCTAAGGATCGCATCTATCTGACAAGCTAATACACTCGACAATTACATCGCTCTAGCTGTTTTTTCTCCAATACCCTAAGCCCAAAATTATTTTATTGCTATGGCATGAAAGAGCTCCGATCGGACATTTTTTGCAAGCAATTTAAATATCATTTTTAGTTGTTTGATATTAAGCTAAACTAAAATTAGATGGATCCTATAACGAATAAGTTCCAGGTTAACACTCCTTGCAATAAAAAATAAAAGCAGATATTTACTAAATAACTTCTCCTTGCTTACAACTTCTAAAAGAGAGTTCCAATTAGATATTAGTTTGATAACTCCAGCTACTGAATGAAATAGTTAAAATAGGAGTTGTTATGACATTATTTGGACTACTAGCTAGAATTAGATTGTCAAAAGTAAAACCACCTGATTTTACCTCGTACTCTTTGTATGAGATATACTACTAGCCTTTTATTTCAAGTTAATTATTTTGAGTTGTTTCATCCTCAATAGAAAATTGATAATTCTGCACTTCGTCCATTATTTGTTGAGGATATTCACCATTTATTAATTTTGTTTAATTAAATTTCAATATTTGATGTTATTAATCAAATAAAATAATATTTAAATACAAATTTGCACCACTTTGTATTTAATTGATTTTGAGTATATTTTAGTTCATTTAAGTGCTATTTTATGTTAATTCACCTATGTATAATTCTTGATAATTAGAATACTGAGTCTCGTTATAATTCTATGTAACTTCAAAATACTTAGGATAAGTTCCAATGTTATTCCCATAAATTGTTCCAATATTATTTAAAAATTGGGCTTATATATTTTGCAAATTTGTAATACTATCTAATGATGAAGATTATTATATTGAAATTTTTATAGCTCCTCCTATTAAAGCTGTATTATTAATAAATAGAGTCCTTTTATCGATATTAAAATTTGCTACTTCTATACAGTAAATTGCTCCACCCAAAGATGAAGCAAAATTATTTTTAAAAGAAGAATACTAAATAACAGCAGATAAAACTGTATCAATGAAAAGAGAAGAACCTGTTACACCTACATTGTTTTCGAAAAAGCTAGTTTCTATAGTTACATTTCCGGAATTTTTAATCTAAATTGTTCCTTGGTTGTTTAGAAATTCTATTCCTTAAAATGCGATATTTGAATTTTGCAAAAATAGTAAATTAATTTGAGTGTCTTGATTTTATAAGCTAGAATATTTATTATTGTTAAACACACTATTTTCCATGTAAAAGTTATCATTTATCAATTATTACATATAATTTTATTGAATAAACTAGTTTATTGAGTATAATGCTGAAACTTGAGTGTTATTTTAAAAATTATATTAACTAATTATTATTTCTTAAATACCTTAAATAATTAAAATATAAATATAACTCTATTATTGAGTGTATTGAGATGTGCTAAAGACTTACAAGTTGCTGATAGAAAGATTATTTATTTGATCAAAAATCATAGCATCAGAGTTGAACTTACTATTTTAAATATTTATATTTTTTATGATCATCTTCTATATATTTTTTGCAATTATTAGTTTGAAAATATTGCTTTCCAAAATCAAATTTGATACAGTTAAAGTATCAATTAAAACATATTCACAATTCTCAAAAATAAACAAAGCTGTATCCTATTAATTATTACTATTTCCTTCTAAATTTCTTCTGTTTGTAGAAGCAGTTGAGACATCACTTAAGTTGACATTTGCGATGTTAAGATTGACAATTTATACAATATTCAAATTATTAAAGCAAATGGAAGTATTATATAAAATTTGTTAATTTTATATTTTTAAAGATTGGAATGTTACATTTTAGGTTTGTTTATTGAATAAAATTTATTATTGCTACTCTAAGAAAAACAAGTTAAAATCCTTTATTTGTAGGTTTTATCCAATATTCATAAACGATTGAGAAGTTAAGTTGTAATTATTACTTCCTTCTTTGCTTGGTTACAATGAGAAAAATACATTTCGCTAATTTAAGAACGATGTTGATAAAAGTGTATTCACAACGTTGAGCGATATTTGATACGAAACAGGGTGATTGTAGTTAAATCTTTATATATTATCAAATATATTATTAGCATAGTAACTACTCTTATATTCTATCTCCTAGTAGCAATTCTAAACATATTCATTACCCTATAAAGGTCCTTTTTATATTAAATAATATTAATTTATATTATTCACCAGTTATTAAAATACAAAAAAATTTTTTTTTTCAATGAAGATTAATTTTAATTTTTATAAAGATATTTTATGTAAAAAAGTGTTTTCAAGGGTAATTTTGACCAATGAGCGAAAGTAAATAAATTTTTTAAATTTTGTATCCTTATCATAAAAACTATAATTAATTAATTTAAATAGGAAGTAAATATTAATATTTATTAATTTACCTGCACTTGTTTAGCTTTTTAAAATTCCATCCAAGTAATCGATGCTAATTCTCTCATCAAATACTCCTGAAGATGTTAAAGCAACAATTTAAATCATATTTAAAGATTTGTTAAGGTTTGTTTTAATAATTTAAGGCATCTATAATTACACAAAATTGATTGATTTAGAAGAAAATAGCTGCTCGTTTATTATGATTGTTTCAATTCCTATGGTATAGATAACGAGAAGAACATTAGGCTATAATTCTAAAATTTAAGTTATTTGATGTACCAAATTTGATTTTCTAAATGAACTTATGAACTATAATGTGCTAGATAAGTAAATATTTAACTAAAAAGAGCAATATAAAATTAGGTATCTTGAAGTAAACAATGACTATTTGTTATATTCATCAGGAAAAGATAAAAACTTTACAAAATTATTCCCATTTTGATTAAAAACACCCATTTTCTTTTCTTCAGATATGCTTATAAAATATCTTCCATTCTAAATCAATAAAATTGTATTTTGAATGCATTTAATATCTTAGATCTGGCTCTTTATTTATTATGCGTTATAATTTAGTATTTATTGCTACTTGATTTATAGACTATCAATCTCCATTTAAATAATACTACCATCTTGCATTGTAAAAGCTACTTCGTTTTAAGCTGAATAAAATGTTGAAATGCCAATATTTTACTAATTATTTTAGTCAATAAATGTGAGAACACTATGAATTTTATTGTCTAAATCATATCTAATTGCTCCACCTGTTTAAAATTTATTAATGAATTACTTTAATTTAAGTTCAATAAGATAAAGAAGAATTTACCTGAATTTAAAGTTAGGAAAACAAATGTGCTTGAATCTTCAATCACAGAAGAAGAAACTATAAAATCATTTTAAGAGAGTTGTATTTTGTATAAAATTTAATTAGAAGTAAAATCATAGTCTAAAATTTAATTTGAGATTGTTTAGATTAAAACAATATTTTCTTAGATTAAAACAATTTGCTTAAATTAAAAATTAGGAATTAGATAAAAGTTATTGGAATTTTCGACTACAGATAAGCTCTAAATTTAGCCTAAAAATACTTGTATGCTGTTAGGATAAACTACAAAAGTAATTGTTACACTCTTTTGAATGAATCTTCTCATGTCTAAAACTTGATTGTTTAGATTCTATTAGAATGTCAGAACATAGTCTTAGTAAAAGAAAATATTGTTATTATTGTCACAAACCAACAAAGAAATTGAGTTATTTATATTGTCAATTGGGTTAATTAAATAAAATTGTTTAGTTTTTTAATTTAGCTGTTGATAGCTTTTAGTCAAGATGTTATAGCTAAATGTCCAAATGATATTTTAGTTAAAGATAAACTCTTGATTATAATTAAAATCTGTAATGTATCCAATAGGTACAGAGATACTTTGTTGTTATAGTTGTGGTATACCTATCATATTTGTAGTTACTATTTAAGGTCCATATAACGCTATTTAGCTGTTACCATAATTGTCAACATAATGTATAGCACCTGTTTCTGCATCAAACGATACACTAATAGGAATACCTACCCCATTATTGTTATACTAATTTAAAACGCTGCCTAGGGACTATTGAGTTTTAAGATCATAAAATTTGACTTAACCGTACCTTATTTCATTTGTCAGATAAGCAATTAGTTATATATCTTCAAAGTAAAAACCTTTAGTTAAAATAGCTCCTGAAGGTACAAATGTATTATTTATTATAAAATTATCCCTCTAAATAACATAGCCAGCTTTTTTTTATATTAAAAAGTGTTTATTTTTTTATATTATTAAAAATAATTTTATTTTAAATTTTATAATCCACTATAAAACATCTTATTACAACTATATAAAAGAGTTTTTAAAAATTTTTTTAGAACAGAAAATTTCTTATAAATAACAATAAATTTTTTGATGAATGTTTTTTCGTTAGTTAAATTTAATGAATTTTATGGTAAAAGAAATATAATTAATTAGTAATATTTACCTAAATTTGTGTATGCTAATATGTAATTTCCACATAAGTCGAACTAAAAAATAGAAGATCCAATTGATTTTATACTATTAACATAGGCTCCTTAGAAATTGTATATCTCAATATTCGAAGAATAAACATAAATGTTAGAATAATTAGTATCCACTGATAAACTAAAATTATTTAATGATGGTGAAATAACATTGACTATTGTAAAGGGACTAACTTTATTGTAGATAGCTATTTGGTTTTAGTTAAACTGGCAAATTACAATATTTTCTTAAAAGCTACACTACTAAAAATTAGAATGAGATTAAGGAGATTGCACAACAATTTATTGTAGATTTAGATCTGTTTGTATAATTATGTTTCCATACAAATATATTTTAGATGTTGACTCATCTATGTAATAGTTTTGAATAGATTTTAATTAAGAGTTTGGATTTAATAGTTGCATTTAGTATATTTGATTATTTATTTCATCTCTCACTATTATTTATTAACTATTATAAGCAATTGATATACCTAAGTTATCAGATATTCCAATTTATTAAATTATCTCATTCTTTACTGGGATTTAAGATTGCTTATTAAATGAAATAATATCAATAAATTAATATGTAAATGCATTTAATCTGTAAATGTCTGTTTAAGCAATCACATAAAAAATACCAAGTCTAAAGCTGTTTTTAATTTGTTGAATAGCATCAACACTACTTTATGTATATTAAGTTAAGTTGAATATGCCTTAAATTGGATTATTTTTGCTTGAACAAGCTGTTCCTACAAAACCTGTTTGAGATCCTAAAAAACTGATCGTTGACTGTTAGTTTAAAAGTTCTTAGTTAAGCATTTAATTTTAAGTATAAATTAGTCTCTCTTACGTATATGTTCCGCTTGTTACATTCCATATTAATTCCATTGAAGTAGAAATTTAATTTATTAGCTAAATAGTTGAAATTCTAAATAGCTAAAAATTATTTTAAATAGTTTTTCTGACGAAAGATACTTTTTAAACATTTGCAAAATTATCAATTGTTTAAATTTAAGCATTGCTAGATAAATCCAAGTATTGTATAGTAAATGGATAAGTTGAGTTAATTTTCTAGTTTAAAAGTAAGAAAAACGTAGTTTAATCATACATATAAACTCCTACAATATTACCTATTAAATTTAAGTTGTTGAAAGCTAAGTTTAGTTGTTCGTTGAGGATAATTAGGCTCTTTAACGAATCTTAAATCATCAAATATATTCCTATTTATATTAAGACTATTAATTAAACAAGTGAAACAATAAAAAAAAATACCTTATGTAGATAGATTAAAAAAAGAGGAGAAAACTATTTGATTTAATTATTAGTATGGCTATATATTTTGTTTTATGATTATTTTTTTTGAAGAACTAATAAATTCGTAGATAATTATTGAATTATTTTTGAATATTAGATATATTTAATCTTGGTTACTCACATATGTTTATTTAATGCTATCTATTCCTGAAATAGAAGCTAGTATTTCAGTTTGATCTTAAAGGATAGATATCTATTAATCATAGATGCAGTATATAAAATTTGATGAATAAATTATTGATGTATAATTTTAAGTTTTTATGTCAATTTCTCTCTTAAGTAATGGATTAAAAATATTAAAAATAGCAATAGTATTCTAGAATAAAACAGCTCCAATTTATAAATTTGTTAATACACTTATGCATGGTTGTGGAGTATATTCTAGTTTATATAAAAAAGAAGGTCTTAAAGGGTTGCTTGCTTGCCATGCAATTACTCTTCCGTCAATAGAACAGCTCAGAATCATGTTTGATTGGTCATTGTATGCGATACTCGATATTGTATTCTTATTATAGTTTATCTTTTCTTAGAAATTAATGGCGAGTCCAATGACCTAGCTTTCAGTTATGTCAATCACTTGTATATCTTAAGAAACAATACAAAGAAGAGGCCTATTTTATAATGTTTTCTAAGGAGTTGAGATCCCTAATAATTAGAGAGGATTATTAATTTAAACGGGGAATGATTTAATATAGTTAAAACTGATAGAATCTGATTATATATTGAATGCAACTAAATATATGTCAATCACATTGTTTTTTAAAACAAAAGTTAATGAAGAGGTTTGATTCGTTTAAATTAAATAGAAATCAATACAAATATCATTTAATTGAATGCTATGAACCACTTTTTGATTTTCGCTTTCGTAAATTTCAAAAAGATTATTTTGATATAAACCCATAATTAGATTTAAATTTTTTGTAGAAGTTGTTTAAATTTATAGCAAATTGAGTTGCTATACAGCTAAAAAAGGCTAAACTACTATACAAGTAGAATTAGACTGTTAAATGACATTAATTCCGTTATTGTCGTTGAATATCAAGTAGAATGAGTTGTTTTGACTAGCTTTTACCATTTTTTTGGGAGACTTTCCTGCATTTGAGCAAGATAAATAGCTTTGATTTATATAATTTTAAATTATCTGATAATTGATATCTTCTATAATACTGACTATTAATATTTGATTTAGCTCATTTATCAATAAAATGTAGTTATCAAGGATAAAAGCTGATTGAATGTAAGAGATTAAAAGCTGTTATCTGCTCTAGTAAGTAAGATCAGTTAAAACAATTTGGCTTTTCTGCACAAAAAAAACTGCCATCATAGTCCTGTTAACATTGTTTTCAACTTGGATCATTTTACTTCTCATATCAATTTATCCTAATTAAATATTAGTGATAAAAGATTGCTCATTTAAATCTAAATCCCAAGCGAAAACAGTATTGTTAGAACTAAATAAGTAGACCTGATTATTTACAGCTTGAACTAAGATAATATTTGAATCAAATAAGTAACTTCTAATGAATGAGGCATTTGTTGAGTTTATCAAGTTAGCAAAAGTGGTATAAATGACTAGCAATTAACCGTTCGTAGCTTAAATAACATTCTAAATGTTCTCTCCTCTTGATAGATTAGTTTGCTAAAGGAATTGACTAGAGCAATAGTAAGAGTTTTGGCATTTGTTTATAGTACCCTCTAGTCCAATTTATAAGTTATCGCATAAAGCCACACATTACTATTAGTTTTGTGTATTTATTTAAGCATATTAATACTCTTCACACATTGTTTGTATACATTAAGAATTATTGTTCAACTGAAATCCATTATTACATTCAATGCATTATTCTTAGTTACTAGAACTTATCGAACAATTTAGACATCCTATTTAGCAGCTAAAAGTAGCATTAAATAAAAATATAAATGCTAAAAAGAATTGTAAAGAAATCATTGTAAGATAAAACCTGATAATTGAACTAAAAATAAACTTTCCTATTTTCTATTTAAAAATAAAGTAGAGATTGTTTATTAGTTGAATACTTTTTGAATGTTTTTTTATTAATTATTTATTTTTGATATTATCAAATTGAATTTAAAAATAAAATATATTTAATAAATTTCATGAATAAATTTTTAATTCCTAAATGCAACATGCAACAAATTTTATATATGTAATAGATATAATTATCTAATAAAGTATTTATTAAAATAAATAACCAATTTAAAATAATCTCTTTTTAACCAAGTCTACTTTTCTATTTTAATAATGTCCTAAATCAGTTTATTTTTTTATTTTTTACAGTTGGAGTTGGGTTTAGAACAAATAAATTGTGAAAGAAAATTCTATTCTAAATTTAAAACATAATAAATAATAAAATAAAAACTAGTGTTTTTTAAATTATTTTGAAAACTTTGAAATGAAAGGAAGAGTTAGTTTAATTAAGTCTTTTGTAAAAATCCTTAATTTAATAAGTTTTATTCAATTTTTTACAGTTTATAATATTCTTAAAAAATGTATTAGTTGTTAGTCAAGAATTTTAATAATATGAATATTTTATATCAAAAAAAAATTAGCATTTAATAGATAAATATTCTTAGAAAAACTTGATATTCTTTATTATAATTATACACATTAAGTTTTTTAAAAACAAAAAAAAATTTAGCAGAGAGAGGTTTCGATCCTCCGACCTTTGAGTTATGAGCCCAACGCGATTCCACTTCGCCACCCTGCTAATTATAAAATAAATAAGAATAATTAATTGTTTAGTAAGTTAAATAGTTAATTATATAAATCTTATTTGATTAATTCATAATGCATTTCTAAATAAACTTTAATATAAATATTTTTTTTAAAAGTAATATAAATTTATATTTTGAATAACAGTTTTGATGCCATTCAAAAATTATGTCTTTTAGATGTCACTTATTATGAAATAGAAGATTTACTTATTTATTAAAAAATCTGATTTTGATATTTTATAATTGAATTATAATTAATAATTTAATTTATTATAATTTAAAAAATAAATAATTATTTTACATCAAAAATTTTTAATTTAGCTAAATTTTCTGAAGAGGGGTAGCAAAAAGAAAAATCATAAAGATTGATATAAATTAAAAAACTTTATTAAAATTTATTTAAGTTGGTATTAAATGTACTTACTTGGTGGATGCAATCTATATATATATATACCTAAATAAAATGTGCTTGCAAAAAAAAACTAAAATTATTAGAGAATAATTAGAGATATTATAAATATTCCTATTATTAATTATAGAGCTAAAACAGAAAAATCTATTTATAAATATTATTTTTAGAAAATTTAAGAACATTAATTAATTAATTACTAGTATCTTTTCAAATATGACTAACTACGCATCTCTAATTCCTACTATATTTATTTTTAAGTATATGTTTTAAATACAAATATTAAGATTAAATAATGAATGTTAAATTAATTTTTATGTGATATCTATCTCTTCATAAAACCAAATTTATAAATTGATATTTAATGATTAATTATTATATTTTATTTTTTGTTTTTATATATTTATAATTAATTAATTAAATTCCATAAATTTCTATTCAATATTTTTGAAAAAAATAAATGATATAATAGATTAAAAGATATAACAAATTAGAAGAAGTAATTATAAATTTTTTATTAATATCCTTTAAATTTATATAAATTAATAAAAAAAGTTTTTAAGCTCTTCTCATTAATCTGATTAGGTTCTTGAAATTTCTCTTAGGTATATTTAAGTTATAAATATTATTTTTATTATTACTAATACTTTTTATGTATTTAACTTTCAATTAATTTAAATAAATAATTTTTGTTATTGAAATTAATTATCATAATTATTCATTATTTTTATTAAAACAAAAATTTTTTAGCTATTTTAACTTAATTTTCAATTATCTACTATTCATTTTTTAATATTTGATATTTTTTCTAAATTTTTTGTTATTAAAACTTACACTTAATAAAATCAGTTTATTAGTTTTGGGTTGTAATATATTTAATTATAAAATTAAATTTAAAACATTAAGGCTCTTTTAATTTATTTGATTTTTCCCCCCTTTGTTAGTTAATTAAGTTAATTATGAACTAATCTTATTATTTCATATTTTTTCTTCATTTTTTCCTTCTAATTAAATTGAGTGAAATGCCTATTTTATTTACAAAAGGCAAAATGTAATATATCTTAATAACATAATAAATAAAGCTAAATTAGCTTTAAACATCTTTATTTTTTAATTTTTAGAAAGCTTTAAATTCACATAATGTAAAATTTGAAATAATATATACATACCGTATATTCTTATAACATATCATTTTTTTTTTTAAAAATAAATTTTTAAAAATTTTACGAAAAAAATTTAAAAACCTGTATTTTAAACTCTCTTTTTGTAAATTTGTATGGCAACTAACTCTATTTAATTACATATTTTTTCTTCAATATTTAAAAAGTTGCAATTAAATTGATGATAAAGGTGCATCAGACTTAGGTTCTGTTTTAGCAAATTGCATTAATCTCTCAAATTTAACACTTTTACTTTAGTAAAACAGTTTATTTGTTTTGGATTTTGATATTTTTAATTATTAAAACTAACTAAAAACAATAAAGCTCTTTTTTCTTTTTCTTTTTATTGAGCTTGATTTTTTTTTTGTTCTTTCTTTGTCAATTTTTAACTCATCATTTTAGTTTCAAATTTTGCTTTTATTATTAATTAATTAATCTTATAGTTTCATATTTTCTCTACATTTTTTCCTTCTAATTAATTATTTAATGATATTTTTTTTCTTCAAAATTTAAAAAGTTGCAATTAAATTGGTGCAACGGGTGCATCAGGCTTAGGTTCTGGTTTAGCAAATTGCATTAATCTCTCAAATTTAACACTTAATATTAGGTAAAACAGTTTATTTGTTTTGAATTGTGATATTTTTAATTATAAAAACTAATTAAAAACAATAAAGCTATTTTTTCATTTTCTTTTTATTGTGCTTGCTTTTTATTGTTCTTTCTTTGTTAATTTAACTCATCATTTTATTTTCAACTTTTGCTTTTATTATTAATTAATTAATCTTATTTTTCCATATTTTTTCTTCATTTTTTCCTTCTAATTAATTATTTAATGATATATTTTTTCTTCAATATTTAAAAAGTTGCAATTAAATTTGTGCAACGGGTGCATCAGACTTAGGTTCTGGTTTAGCAAATTGCATTAATCTCTCAAATTTAACACTTAATATTAGGTAAAACAGTTTATTTGTTTTGAATTGTGATATTTTTAATTATAAAAACTAATTAAAAACAATAAAGCTATTTTTTCATTTTCTTTTTATTGTGCTTGCTTTTTATTGTTCTTTCTTTGTTAATTTAACTCATCATTTTATTTTCAACTTTTGCTTTTATTATTAATTAATTAATCTTATTTTTCCATATTTTTTCTTCATTTTTTCCTTCTAATTAACTATTTAAGGATATATTTTTTCTTCAATATTAAAAAAGTGCCAATTAAATTGGTGATAAAGGTGCATCAGGCTTAGGTTCTGGTTTAGCAAATTGCATTAATCTCTCAAATTTGACACTTCTGCTTTTGTAAAAACAGATTATTTGTTTTGAATTGTGATATTTTTAATTATTAAAATTAATTTAAAACAATAAAGCTATTTTTTCTTTTCTTTTTATTTTGATTACTTTTTTTTGTTCTTTTTTTGTTAATTTAGCTCATCATTTTATTTTCAACTTTTGCTTTTATTATTAATTAATTAATCTTATTTTTCCATATTTTTTCTTCATTTTTTCCTTCTAATTTACTATTTAATGATATAATTTTTCTTCAATATTTAAAAAGTTGCAATTAAATTGAAGCAACGGGTGCATCAGGCATAGGTTTTGGTTTAGCAAATTGCATTAATCTCTCAAATTTGATACTTGATCTTTGGTAAAACAGTTTATTTGTTTTGAATTGTGATGTTTTAAATTATAAAAACTAATTAAAAACAAAAAAGCTCTTTTTTCATTTTCTTTTTATTGTGCTTGCTTTTTATTGTTCTTTCTTTGTTAATTTAGCTTCTCATTTTATTTTAAACTTTTGCTTTTATTATTAATTAATTAATCTGATTATTTCATATTTTTTCTTCATTTTTTCCTTCTAATTAACTATTTAATGATATATTTTTTCTTGAATATTTAAAAAGTTACAATAAAATTGGTGCAAGAGGTGCATCAGGCTTAGGTTCTGGTTTAGCAAATTGCACTAATCTCTCATATTTGGCACTTAACCTTAAGTAAAAACAGTTTATTTGTTTTGGATTGTGATATTTTAAACTATAAAAATGAATATAAAACAAAAAAGCTCTTTGAATTTATTTGATTTATTTTTTATCTTTTTTATTCCACTAATGTAATTTTATTTATTAATTTAAGAAATAATTTTTAATTTAAAAGTTTATTCTATTTTGATATTTATTTAAAATTTACAAAAATTTATTATAAAATTTTTAGCTAAATGAATGAATCATAAAAATTCAAAGTAATAAGCAAGTGCCTTAAATCTAAAAGATTAGTTGTCTTTGAAAAATTATTTTAATGATAAACAAGTGGCTATAAAAGGATGAATAAATATAAAATGTTTGAATAATTGAATATTATATATTTTATTATATTATATTTTGAAAAAGTTTTTTTAACCTAAAATAAAAATAGATAGATAGATTTTTATTATTGATTTTATATTTATAAATATCATTCATATTTATTTTTGTAAGTTAATAAATTATTAAAAAAAATAAAAAAATAAAATTTACTTAAATAAATTAATTCCTCTCAAGTAAACCCTACGGTTTCTCCAAAAACGATCAAATAATTTGAAACTTTATAGCACTTTGGAATTTTAAATTAACACCCAAAAAATTTTCAAAAGTTTATGGGGGTGGGGTGTTAATATATGAGAACTTACAGTATTAAAGTTATTTTATCAAAATTAAAGTAAATTAATTAATAAAATTTATCAACGTATAAATAAATAGAAATCTTTGATTATATACTATTTTTATAAGTACAAATTTTTAATAGAAATATTCATTAAATTTAATAATTAATTAATTAATGCTTCATAAATTTTAAACTTTTTTGGATTTTTCCATCTAAAATAAATTTATATATTTGTATTTGATAATGATAATAATTTATTTATTATTTTTGTCTATATTAATTTGATATAAAAGTAAATTAATTTATTAATATACTTATAATTAATTAATTAATTTCCATAAATTGTTATTCAATATTTTTGAAAAGTAAAATAAATAAATGATATAATAGTATAAATATTTTAATATAATTCCAGAAGTTAATATTTACTTTTTTGTTTTTATTGTATTAATTTATTTTTTTTAATAACAAAAGTTTGAAAGGTCTTCACTTTAATCTTTTTAGGTTCTGCATATTGACTTGAGATTTTATATGAAGTATATTTGATTTATTATCATTATTATTATTATTAATCTTTTATTTATTTACTTTTAATATGATTAACTAACTAACTAATTTACTTTTTAAATTTAAATTATTATCTATATTCATTCAATTTTATTATATTTTTTAATTATTTTATTTTAATTTTTATAAAAGCTTAAATTTTTTATTTTTTTTATATTTTATATTTTTTCTTCAATATTTAAAAAGTGGAAATTATTTTCGTTATTAAGATGCATCAAGCTTTTGGTCTGCATTAGGAAAGTGCACTAATCTCTCAAATTTGACACTTGATCTAGAGTAAAAACAGTTTATTTGTTTTCAATTGTGATATTTTTTAATATAAAAATAACTAACTCTTTTAATTTATTTATTTATGGGTCTTTCATTTGAATTATTTTTCTTTTTTTTATTCTGAATGTGTTTTTTTATTTGTTTGTTTGTTTGTTAATTTTACTCATTTTTTTATTTTCAACTTTAGCTTTAATTATTAACTTATTAATTAATTTCTTATTATTTAATATTTTTTCCATCTAACTAACAAATTAACTCTTTATTTTTTCTTCAATATTTAAAAAGTGGAAATAGTTTTGGTGATAAAGGTGCATCAGGCTTAAGTTCTGCTTTAGAAAAATTGACTAATCTCTCAAATTTGACACTTAGTCTATAGTAAGAACAGTTTATTTGTTTTGGATTATGATACTTTTGAATATAAAAATAAATTTAAAACAATTTAACTAACTCATTTAATTTATTTATTTATAAGCTTTTCCTTTGATTTATTTTTTTATTCTGGTTGTGTTTTATTTATTTATTTCTTTGTTTTTTAGCTAATTTTACTCATTTTTTCATTTTAAAATTTTGGTATTACTATTAATTAATTAATTTCTTATCATTACTCAATATTTTTCTTCATTTTTTTCTTCTAACTAACAAATTAACTATATATTTTTTCTTCAATAATTAAAAAATATTTTAAAAGGTAGAATCAAATTGGTTCAATTGGTGCATTAGGCTTAGGTTCAGCTTTAGGAAAATGCACTAAACTCTCAAATTTGGCACTTAATATTTAGTAAAAACAGTTAATTAGTTTTGGATTGCGATATATTTGAATATAAAAATGAATTTCATATTTTTCTTCTTTTTTTCTTCTAACTAACAAATTAACTATATATTTTTCTTCAATATTTAAAAAGGTAGAATAATATTGGGGCAATTGGTGCATCAGGCTTATGTTCTGCTTTAGGAAAGTGTACTAATCTTTAAAATTTGACACTTATTATTTTGTAAAAATAGCTTATTAGTTTTTGATTGTGATTTTTTTTAATTTAAAAAAATATATAAAACAATAAAAATAACTCTATTAATTTATTTATTAAAAAGCTTTTCATTTGATTTATTTTTCTTTTTATTTTAGTCTGTTTTTTTATCTATCTATCTATCTATCTATCTATCTATCTATCTATCTATCTATCTATCTATATATTTATTTTTTTGTTTGTTTGTTAATATTATTCATTTTTGATTTTAAACATTAGCTTTTATTATGAATTAATTTCTTATTATTTCATATTTTTTCTTCTAAATAACAAATTAACTAAATATTTTTTCTTCAATTTATAAAGGTAGAATTAAATTGGTGATGAAGATGTATCAGGGTTAGGTTCTGCTTTAGGAAAGTGCTCTAATCTCTAAAATTTGACACTTAATCTTGAGTAAAAACAGTTTATTTTTTTTGGATTATAATATTTTTGAATATAAAAATGAATTTAAAACAATATAAGTAACTCTATTAATTTACTTATTTATGAGCTTTTCATTTAATTTATTTTTCTTTTTCGTTTATTCTCTTTTTTTATCTATTTATTTTAATTGTGGCCAAATATAAAAATATTGGAAAATGCTTGTCTATTACCTATTTATTAGGTTCAAAATTTTGATAAAAAAAATAATTGGTATTGGAATTTTCAAAATTAACTATATATTTTTTCTTCAATATTAAAAAGATCGAATAAAATTGGAGTAATTGCTGCATCAAGCTTATTTTTTGCTTTAGAAAAGTGCACTAATCTATCAAATTTGATAATTAATCTGGGGTAAAATCAGTTTATTTTTTTTGGGTTGTGATAATTTTTAACATAAAAATGAATTTAAAACAATTTATCTAACTCTATTAACTTGTTTATTTATTTTTTTTTTTATGAGTTTTATATTTGATTTATTTTTCCATTTTTTTATTCTATTTATGTTTACTTTCTTTCTTTATTTCTTTTTTTGTTTGTTAATTTTACTCATTTTTTCATTTTTTTAATTTTGCTTTTATTATTTATTAATTTATAAATTAATTTCTTATTATTTCATATATTTTCTTCACAAAATAACAAATAAATTCCCTATATATTTTTTCTTCAATATTTAAAAAATATTTTAAAAGGTATAATAAAATTGGTGCAATGGAATGGAATGGAATACTCGCACATAAATATGCACTCAGAATACATCTTAATTAAATTATATTATAGAAAAACAATTTTATATATTTTATTTTATTTATTTTTTTGTGTTAATCTGTAGGTCTAGATAAGGGTTTTCAAAGCAATTTGTTTATTTATTTAATTCAAATATTATATATAGTATCAACGTCACTCCATGTAGTTGCCGGAGCTTCCGTAGCTTCTGTAGCTTCTGTAGCTTAAAATTGGTGCAATTGGTGCATCAGGCTTAGGTTCTGCTATAGGAAAGTGTACTAATCTCTTAAATTTGACAGTTAATCTTCAGTAAATCTTATTGTTTCATATTTTTTCTTCATTTTTTCCTTCTAACACAAATTAATTAAATATTTTTTCTTCAATAATAAAAAAGGTGTAATCATGTTTATGATGAAGGTGCATCAGGCTTATGTTATGGATTAAGTAAGTGCACTAATCTCTCAAATTTGACACTTGGTCTATAGTAAGAATAGTTTATTTGTTTTGGATTGTGATATTTTTGAATATAAAAATGAATTTAAAAGAATATAACTAACTCTTTTAATTTTTTTATTCATATATGAGCTTTTCATTTAATTTATTTTTCTTTATATTTATTCTGCTTGTATTTAATTTATTTATTATCATTTTTTCCTTCTAACCAACAAATTAACTACTTTTTCTTCAATTATTAAAAAGTGCAAATTAAATTAGTGATGGAAGTACATTAGACATAGGTTCTGCTTTAGTAAAGTGCACTAATCTCTCAAATTTGACACTTGTTCTAAAGTAAAACCGGTTTATTTGTTTTGGATTGTGATATTTTTGAATATAAAAATGAATTTAAAATAATATTACTTTTTATTTGAATTATTTTTCTTTTTTTTTATTCTGCTTGTGTGTTTTTATTTATTTATTTGTTTTTTTGTTAATTTTATTCATTTTTTTATTTTAAACTTAGCTTTTATTATTAACTAACTAATTAATTAATTTCTTATTATTTCATATTTTTTCATCATATTTTTCTTCTAACTAACAAATTAACTATATTTTTTTTCTTCAATATTTAAAAAGTATCAATTAAATTAGTGATGAAGGTGTATCAAACTTAGGTTAAACTTTAGGAAATTGCATAAATCTCTCAAATTTGACACTTGATCTAAAGTAAAAACAGTTTATTAATTTAGGATTGTGATATTTTGGAATATAAAAATAAATCTAAAAGAATATAACTAACTCTTTAAATTTATATATTTATGAGCTTTTTATTTGAATTTTTTTTATTTATTCTGCTTGTGAGTTTTTTATTTATTTATTTATTTGTTTGTTTTTTTGTTAATTTTACTCATTTTTTCATTTTAAACTTTTGCTTTTATTTTTAATTAATTAATTAATTTTTTATTATTTCATATTTTTTCTTCATTTTTTCCTTCTAACTAACAAGTTAACTATATACTTTTTCTTCAATATTTAAAAAGTTTCAATAAAATTGGCGATCAAGGTGCATAAGGCTTAGTATTTGCTTTATTAAAGTGCACTAATCTCTCAAATTTGGCACTTTCTCTACCGTAAATCAAGTTTATTAGTTTTGGATTGTGAAATTTTTGAATATAAAAATGAATTTAAAAGAATATAACTTACTCTTTTAATTTATTTATTTATGAGTTTTTTTATTTGAATTATTTTTCTTTTTTTTATTCAGCTTGTGTGTTTTTTATTTATTTATTTGTTTGTTTTTTTGTTAATTTTACACATTTTTTCATTTTAAACTTTAGTTTTTATTATTAACTATTAATTTCTTTTTATTTCATATTAACTAACAAATTATCTATATATTTTTTCTTCAATATTTAAAAAGTTACAATTAAATTGGTGATGAAGGTGTATCAGGCTTAGGTTATGGTTTAGTAAAGCACACTAATCTCTCAAATTTGACACTTAATCTCAGGTAAAAACAGTTTATTTGTTTTGGATTATGATATTTTTGAATATAAAAATGAATTTAAAACAATATAACTAACTCTTTTAATTTATCTATTTAAATCTTTTTTGATTTATTTATTATTTTTTATTCTGCCTGTGTTATTTTGATTTATTTATTTCTTTGTTAATTTTACTCCTTTTTTCATTTTAAACTTTTGCTTTTATTGTTAACTAATTAATAAATTAATTTCTTATTTTATTTCATATTTTTTCTTCATTTTTTTCTTCAACAAACAAATTAACGATATATTTTTTCTTTAATATTTAAAAAGCGGAAATTCTTTTGGTTATGAAGGTGCATCAAGCTTAAGTGCTGCTTTAGGAAAGTGTACTAATCTCTTAAATTTAAGACTTTATCTAATGTAAAAATAGTTTATTTGTTTTGGATTGTGAAATTTTTGAATTAAAAATGAATTTAAAAGAATTAACTCTTTTAATTTAATATTTTATTTATGAGCTTATTATTTATTTGATTTATTTTCTTTTATTTCTTATTTTATAACATTTTTATTATTTATTAATTTTAAATCTCATATTTTATTTATTTTTTTAATAACTCACTAATTTACATTAAAAGTGGAATCTAAATCAACTTAATATAAATGAAAGCAAAGTGCCTTAAATCAAAAAGATTAGTTATATTTGATTTATGATAGAATAAGACGAATAAATAAATAAATATAAATATAATTGAATATTTTAATATAATACGTTTTATATTTTTATTTTCTGTTATCATTAAATTAATTAGCCTAAAATATAGATAGATAGATTATTAGTTATTTATATATTTATAAATAAAATATTTTGGTAGGCTAATTAATAATTAACTTTATCTAAAAAACTAAATTTAAGAATTTTAATTTCTTTTATTTTTTCAACATATGACTAATTAATTAATTAACTACCCATCTCTAATTCCTGTTATATTTTTATATATTTATTCAAATATTAAGATTAAATAATGAATTTTAAATTAATTTTTTTGTGATATTTCTTCATAAATGCAAATTTATTAATTAATATTTGATAATCAATTGTTATATTTTATTTGTTTATTTTATCCATTTATAATTAATTAATTAAATTCGATAAATTTTTATTCAATATTTTTGAAAAAATAAATAAATGATACAATAGAATTAATATTACAGTAGTTTAGTAGAAGTAAATATTTATTTTTTTATCTATATACTTTAAATTTATTTTTACGAATATAAAAAGTTTTTAAATTCTTCACTTTAATCTCATTAGGTTCTCCATATTGATCTGAAGTAAATTTAATTTGATAATATTTATTATATATTTAACTTTCAATTTATGAAAAAAAATAATTTTTCTAATAGAAATTCTCATTATTATTCTTTGATTTTTATTTATAAAATAATTTTTTAGCCATTTTAAATTTATTAGCATTTCAATTTTCAATTTTTAATTATTTATTATTGATATTTGATATTTTTTCTTCATTTTTGCTGTTTAAACTTATTGATACTTGATAAAAACAATTTATTTATTTTGGATTGTGATATTTTTAATAACAAAAATTAATTTAAAATATTAAATAAACTCTTTTAATTTATTTTTCTTTTTATTGTCTTTTTTTTCTTTTTCTTCTTTCTTTGCTAATTTAACTTATTCTTACATTTTTAACTTTTAGTTTTATTATTATTTCATATTTTTTCTTCATTTTTTCCTTCTATTTAACAAATTAATTTTATATTTTTTATTCAATATTTAAAAAGTTCCAATAATATTAATGATGAAGATGCATAAGGCTTAAGTTCTGCTTTAGAAAATTGCACTAAACTCTCAAAGTTGACACTTAACCTTTAGTAAAATGAGTTTATTTGTTTTTTTTTGATTTTGATATACAGATATTTTTTCCCAAGTAACCCTTTTTAAATATCTTTATGTATTTTTATATATTAGTATTAAATTTAAATTATCTAAAAAATAAAAGGCACCGGTTACTCGGTAATAAATATCTGTATTTAATTATAAAAACTAATTTAAAACAATAAAGCTCTTTTAATTTATTTGATTTATTTATTTATGCTTACTTTTTCTTCTTCTTTCTTTGTTTATTTAACTCATTATTTTGTTTCAGCTTTTGCTATTATTTATTAATTAATCTTATTTATTATTTCATATTTTTTCTTCATTTTTCCTTTTAATTAACTTTAATATTTGATATATCTAAAAAGTTAGAATCAAATTGGTGATGAAGGTGCATCAGGCTTAGGTTCTGCTTTATCAAAGTGCATTAATATCTCAAATTTGACACTTTACCTTGGGTAAAAAGGATTTATTTGTTTTGAGTTGTGATATTTTTATTTATAAAAATTAATTTAAAAAATAATGCTCATATAATTTATTTGATTTATTTTTCTTTTTATTGTGCTTGCTTTTTTTTCTTATCTCTTTGTTAATTTAATTTATTCTTTAATTTTCAACTTTTACTTTTATTATTAATTAATTAATCTTATTTATTATTTCATATTTTTTCTTCATTTTTTCCTTCTAATTAACAAATTAATAATATATTTTTTATGAAATTTTTAAAAAGTTCCAATCAAATTAGTGCAATAGGTGCAACAGGATTAGGTTCTGCGTTAGCAAAGTGCATTAATCTCTCAAATTTGACTCTTGAGTTTTCGTAAAAAGAGTTTATTTATTTATTTGGATTGTGATATTTATATTTATAAAAAATAATTTAAAACAATAAAGCTCTTACAATTTATTTGATTTATTTAATTTTTGTTTTTATTGAATTTGCTTTTTTTTTCTTTCTTTTTTGTTAATTTAAATCATTATTTTATTTTTAACTTTTTTTTTTTTTATTGATTTTTTACTTCTAATTAATTTATTTTATAGTTTTGAATCAATATTTAAAAAGAAACAATTAAATTGGTGAAGAAGGTGTATCAGGCTTAGGTTCTGCTTTAGCAAACTGCACTAACCTCTCAAATTTGGCACTTGAACTTTAGTAAAAAGAGTTTATTTGTTTTTAATAAAAAAAATAATTTAAAATAATAAAGCTCATTTTATTTATTTATTTGATTTATTTGGCCAAATTTTATTAAATGTATACCTGGGTCATAAATTTCTTAAAGTACATATGGTACCAATGTTATCAAAAATATATGAAAAATTTATTTTTTTTTAAATTGATACCATTAGTACACCAAGAAATTTAAGACCCAGGTGTACCTTTATTAATATTTGATTTTTATTGTTTTTGTTTTTTCTTCTTCTTTCTTTGTTAATTTAACTCATTCTTTTATTTTCAGCTTTTATTGTAAATTAATCTTATTATTTCATATTTTTTCTTCATTTTTTCCTTCTAATTAACTAATTAATTAATTATTTTTTATTCAATATCTAAAAAGTTCCTGTTAAATTGGTCATAAAGGTGCATCAGGCTTAGTTTCTGCTTTAGTAAACTGCATTAACCTTTCAAATTTGAAACTTGATCTATAGTAAAAAAAATTTATTTGTTTTTTACTAAACTAATTTAAAACAATAAAGCTCTATCATTTATTTGACTTATTTTTCTTTTTATTTTTATTGCTCTTGGTTTTTTTTCTTCTACTTTTATTAATTTAACTTATTCTTTTATTTTCAATTTTGCTTATATTATTATTTCATATTTTTTCTTAAATTTTTACTTTTAATTAACTAATTAATTATAAATTTTTAATTCAATATTTAAAAAGTTCCAATGAAATTGGTTGTGAAGGTGCATCAAACTTAGGTTTTGCTTTAGTAAATTGCACTAGCCTCTCGAATTTGACACTTGGTCTTAAGTAAAAAGAGTTTATATGTGTTGGATTGTGATATATTTCTTTATAAATACTAATTTAAAACAATAAAGCTCTGAGAATTTATTTGATTTATTTTTCTTTTTATTGTGTTGCTTTTTTTTGTTCTTTCTTTGTTAATTTAACTCATTCTTTTATTTTCAACTTTTATTTTTATTCTTAATTAATTAATCTAATTATTTCATATTATTTCTTCTTTTTTTCCTTTTAATTAACTAAATAGTTTAATATTTTTTGTTCAATATTTAAAAAGTTCCAATTAAATTGGTTGTGAAGGTGCATCAGGCTTAGGTTCTGCTTTAGCAAAGTGCATTAATCTCTCTAATTTGACTCTTGACTTAGTGTAAAAAGAGTTTATTTTTTTGAATTGTTTAAAAAAATAAATCTCTTAAAATTTATTTGATTTATTTTTCTTTTTATTGTGCTTGCTTTTCTTTCTTTCTTTGATTGTTTTTTAATTTAAGCCATTATTTTATTTTAAATTTTGCTTTTATTATTGCCATTGGTTTTTGATAACTTGAAATTCAATAATCAAAATAAATATTAGAGTTATTTGTTCTTATTCTCCCATTCATTTTTTTTAAATTAAAATAAATTATTTTTGAATTAATATTTCGAATATTTTTTTTGAAAATTCGAATTCATTTTTTTCGAATTAACGAGAACCAGTGGTAATTAATCTGATTATTTCATATCTTTCTTCATTTTTTCTATTAATTAATTATATATTTTTAATTCAATATTTAAAAAGTTCTAATCAAATTGGTGATAAAGGTGTATCAGGCT